ACCGAAAGAAATGTGCTTGGATTTTGCAAAAAAAAAAAAAGAACAGATTTAAGGAATTTACTTTTTATTAATATTTTCTTTATTGTGCACTGTAGGCAGATCATAAGTCTGAACACGTAAAAAGAACACATGAAAAGCTCCATAGTTCAGACTAAATCATGGGGGTAACCAAAATTCTTGAAAATTATAGTGGATACATGGAGAAATGAGACAGCTATGTAGAATTGATATAAGTGGGATTTTTTTTCTTTCTAAAATTTCCTTTTACTGTTTTATTTAAAAAAAAAAAAACAGATTTTAAACGGCCCTCTAGACTGAATGTGTCCCTTTAAAATTCATATATTGAAACCCAATAGCCAATGTGATGGTATTTGGAAGGGGGGCCTTTGGGAGGTGATTAGGTCATGATGGTGGAGCCTTCATGAATGAGATTAGTGTCCTTATAAAAGAAACGCCTGAGAGCTTCCTTCCCCTTTCAGCCATGTGAGGACACAGTAAGAAGATAACCACCTATGAACCAGGAAGCAAGTCCTCACCAGACAATGAATCTGCTGGTGTCTTGATCTTGGACTTCACCTCCAGAACTGTGGGAAATAAATTTCTGTTAATTGTAAGCCACCCCGTCTATGGTATTCTGTTATAGCAGCTCAGACTGACAAAGATAAATGTAATTGAATGATCATGAAAATATATAGTATACTTGGCTAAATACTGGAAAAGAATATGCAAAGCTGAAAATGTCTCTGACTTTGGTGAAACGACGTATTTGTCAAACTTTCTCTACAGTTGGACTATTGTCTTTATTTTTAAAAAATTGAAACAAATTGAATCGATAGAACTTTTTTCAAGAAGTGTAGTTTTGTTACTATCAAATATATATGGCAACTTAAACTACCAACAAATGAAGTGTTGCCAAGTATAAATTCCTGTAAGTCTTTTAAAAAAAATACATGCTCCTCTGAATTATAATTACCATATAACTTTGTTCATTCTTGAATGATTCCTTTTGTGATCTCAAAGATCTGATTTTATTAAGTAGGCTCATGTCATCAGTATAATATTTACACCATAATTTTCTTGGCAAATACTTTGTTCACTTCTAGTACAAAGGTATAATAGAATTTAGCTTTTATCAAACAGCCTTACAAGCTCTATTATAAATTCATCCATAGATTATAAGCTTCTTAAAGTAGGAATTATGATTTATTTTGTCTTTTTAATCTCCCCAATCCTGGGAACCAGAGCAGATGCAATGAAGAGCAGATTAAGCCCTAAATACCTTCTATGTTTTTTCCACTTGTGAGGAACCACCATGTTACATTATCAGCAAACCGTAAAGACTAAAACACACAATTATAGAATTTAGTATTTAAACCAACTACAACTGAAAACAAGTAAATCTATTATATTTAAGGTATAAAGAACTATTCACGTGCTGCATAATAACCAAGCATAAATGGTAAGCAACAATTCATCACTGCTGCCTCTCCACATCTCTCCCTCTGGCTCAAGAGCTGGTGGTGTGGTCTGGGGGAAGATAAGGCTAAAGCATCTCCATGTTCCAAAGTGACCTCCCTCTCTCAGCTGTACCGTGGTAAATGACCCCAACCACTGCTTCAAGCCCCATAAAACTCATCAGTCAGTTTTCTGGTCAAGTGTGGCCAAGGCTTCAATGTGGCCAAAGACTTTTCCCTGAGTTCTTGCCTTGTCAACCCTCCCTGCACCCATTTCTGTGGATTCTGAGTCCAGTGGTCTGGGTGGGCCCAGGCACTAGTCTTTTTTATATATATAACTCCTCGGATTACTATACAGCCAGGGCTGAGAACCAGTGCTCTAAGAAATAAACCAGCTGGCTTTTTCCTTTTTCTGTTCTTATCCTCCCAATGGTGAATCAAAAATATCACCTCCTAGTAGCATCTGTATCAGTCAGAAACTGAAATATGGCTTTCTAGTGACTTGTTAGGACCCCTGCCTCCCACTCCTTCCCTCAGGCTTTGCACCAATCCAATCTTAAGAAAATCTGTGTGCCTTTGGTCTTGCATGAGCCAAATGGCCATTCCTCTATACCCCAGGGATTATTGCAATATCAAACTTGTTCACCCCAATTCCCACATCCTGAGGTCAAGCTCCTTCTTCAGAAGATCATGTGGTGACAGTATAAGAGAGTCACTCTTCATTCATTCATTTATCCATTATTTAACAGGCAGGTATGGGTCATTAGGGACCATCATGGCGCTAGGCACATGGGATACAATGGCCAGCAATCGTGAAGAGTGGGTCTATGAAAAAGACAGACCTAGCTTATATCACTGGCATTTGGCAAGAAGCATGCGCCAAGCTCGCTTTCTTCCTTTTCTCTGGTATATCATCTGACACTCATTCCAGATCCATGAGTGCTTATCTAGGCCTGAAGCTGGCCTTGTGCATCTCTTCACATAAATACTGCCACTTGTCACTTGTCCTGCTCCTCCATATTTGACAGCAGCTCTTCTTATCCATAAGTGATGAAACACCAAAAATCATTGACTCAGAATGGTTGAGGCCCAAGTCTTCATCCCCAAAATAGATTTCCTTCCTATAGAGATCTTGGTTCTGGTTCCATGTGGAAATTATGTCGTTTGAGGATTGATTCTTCCATGGCATGTCCACGTAAAGGCATTAATTAACCCATCCTCTCCCCCATTTGACTCTATCTAAACTCACAACCATGAGCCGGTGACCTTGTCTGTCACACCGGTTCTATATGCCAGCACTAACAGAGAACACTTCTAACCTAGGAGTTCCCCCAAATATCCAAGTGTGTGTGAAAATACATTCCTAAATTGAGCTAATTAAAGGCATAAAACATGTTTATTTCCATCACAGATGTGAAAAATGATATCCCTTCCTAGGAAAACTGCTGCCAAGAAATGGCTCAGCCACCGACATGAGCACATCCAGTATTTTACCATTTAAGTTCTGAGTTTCAGTTTTTATTTTTAGTCTTTTGAATTAAATTGTATAACTATATGGACAAGGGGGAACCCCTCCACACACGATCAGGTTCAAGCTCCGTTGAAGGCCAAGGGTTCAAATTCTTTAGGGCTGCTTGTCCCAAAGGACGAGAGGACGGACTCTGGCTGGAGTTGGAACTGGTGGAAATCAGATCCCCACCCCCCAGAGATGGATTAAATACCTCCCCAAAAAAAGTCAGGGAAAAAGTGATCTACAGAGACTTTCAGCATGATAAATATGAGCAGCGAAACAGATCTCAGAGACATGCGGAAATAAGAGAAGGGCATCAAGAAGTATATCAAAAGGAGGTATGAGCCACACATGGCAAGTTCTGAGATCAGGCAGGAAGGGAAAGTGATATGTAAGATCAGTTTCTGTTGTGTAATCCCATACCCTGGTAGCATTTGTCTCATGTATTGGCAATGAATAATTTTTTTTTAGTGCCTGTTTTCAACTTGAGTTTGGCGTGAGGCTAGGTTGACATAACGAAGTGAGTATTGCAAGCAGGATTTGGAGAGGTAAAATAAAAACAGGTTCTGCCACCAGGCTGAGCAGAGGTCAAAGACTGCTTCTGCTATTTCTGGCCGTGTGTGACCTTGGCCGAACTGATGAACAACGCTGGACCTCAGTCCATTCACCTATAAATTGGGGCTAATAATGCCCACCTCACAGGATTTTATGAGGATTAAACAAGATCACAATAGTAAGTGTTCAGTAAGGATTACTTTCCTTTTCTCATAATATTTTTGGAATAGATAATTGTCAGAAAAGGGCAACATATTTGCCTGGAAAGACAGGTGTGTGAGCTAAAAAGCCCTAAGGCATTTAAAGAATTTGGAAATTTTTACCTACTGCATTTCCAGTCCTTGGGGTTTTTAAAAGTTGAACTCACATGCTTTAGAATAGAGCTGACCAAGAGAACTTTCTACGATGATGGGGATGTTCTATCTCTATACTGCCCATACAGTAGCTTTTGGCCACGTGTGGCTGTCGCACTCTTGAGATGTGGTTAGTGCAACTGATGAACTGACTTTTTAATTTTATTTACTTTTAATTACTTTAAATTTAAGCAGCCATGCATGGCTAGTTGCTACCGAATTGGACAGAGCTCTTTTAGATCTCTTTGACTATAAGGTTCTCCCACACCAGCCAGGACTTGGGGAAGTAGAAGAGTGTGAGTTTAAGCACATAGGCTCTGGAATCAGTCTGCCTGGATTCAAATACCAACTCTGGTGCTGAGTGACCTCATGTAAACTCCTTGTGCCTCAGTTTCCCCACCTGTAAAAGACTAATGCTAATGACATCACTTGCTTCATATAAGATATTGGGAGAAACAAATAAGTTAATAGAAATAAGAGCCTCAAAAGGTATTATGATTATTTCCCCAATAAAAATAGTTCTCACGCTTTATTGTAATTATGTATTTACGCCTCTGCCTTACCCACTGGTTTGTAAGCACTGCTATAATACCAGTGCCACACACCACGCCTGGCACGTTTAGACTCTCATGAAATGTGTTGAAGGGAGAGAGGGAGGGAGGAAGGGAGGAAGAAAGGATGAATGAAACAGGCATGATATTTACCATGAAGAGTGAAGCAAGTGTCTAAAACAAAACAAATAACAAAATGTGAGAGGTTTCAATAAAAATTTCAGTGGAGATGACAGTTGGAGATAAAGATGGAGTCTGATACTCCGGAGGAAAGTGTGCTCTCAAGTGACAGTGAAGGGGTTTCATAGTTCTGAGAGAACCAAGGAGAGAGGAAGGTGGACTTGAGGGTCTTTCCTAGACTCCACATCTATGAAATTATGAACTTCAATCCTTAACAGTGTGTTCAACCAAGCTTCTTCAAGAGAATACAATTGTGAGTTTTGTAACCTTATTTTTCCAAGTTATAGTCTAATCTAAAAGGCACCACCAGAAGTGAAATATATATTTTGTTGGCTTCCCATTTCCAAGTTTTTATTAATATGACATTCACCAGTTTCCCCAAAAAAGCAGTGTGGGGCAAGTTTTCATAACTGTTTATTCATTATAAATAGTAAATATTTACTGCACTTTTTACATGAAAGACATTTTTACAACACATTGTTGTTGGCTGAGGCTGCAACACAAAGGCAGCACTTCTCCTAATCCATCACCCTCTAAGACCAATGTATGAACTAAGCTCGGTACTATGTCTAGTCTCGCTAACTCACTACGTCATAGTTCTTAGCTCTAAAAGGAATGTATTTGCGCCTACCTCGTTCATGGTTCCAAGAATAGAAAGAAATAAATAACACTGCCTTCCACCTTCTTGCTCCTCTTAACATCTCGAACAACAAATTTATTGACATTCTAAAATGTCACCACACAAATGTATATAAACCTCAGTTCCTATAATCTTTCAATATTGGATATCATTGTATAATTTAAAAGTACATGAGAGCCACGTGGACATTTCTGTTCTTGCCCTACCTTTCACAGAAAAGAGAAGAATGTAAACGTAATCATTTTAAAAGCATTATTCTCGAACATGGTCTCTAATCAAAAGGAGCAAGTTGGGTGTTGGTTGTCCAGCAAATGGCGAACGTCACTGCATTCTACCACAATGAATCATGGGCTGCGAAAATAAAGCACCTGCAAAAATATAGTTCTGATTCTGTTTATATGGCCCTGGCCACTGCCAAAGCATCCGTGAGGTACACAGTATTGCACACTGATAAGCAGCTGTGGGAATGCACATCACTTCTTCTCCACCATGCCCTCCCCCCATCCAGGTTGGCTTCCAAATGAAAATGAATTGGGAACACACCACACACCTCTCCCACACCAGGAAAGAAAACCAGCTTTTCTTCCTGCTCCCCCATATCCTGTTAGCAAGACGGGACATTTATTGACAACTGGATTACAAATGAAGATAAGATAACAAATAATTTATTTGGGAGGTCCTTTACATCTAGTCTAACTTCCTAAAAATGGTGGCATTTATTTTTATGTCAATTTCCAGTGTGTAAAAGTCAAGGATTCCTCCGTTCCTGCTTCATTAAGTGAGCAGTTTTAAAGTTGTAGAAGTGTCAGCATTGGACATTAAACATGTTATAGTTTAGAGTATTCTCTGACTATTATTTTAGAACATTCTGCTTGCCCAAACCAGGCCAGATAAATCTCACATAAGCCCACACGTGCACATACACACACACACACACACACACACACATACAAATGGAATGTTTTAGCTCCTCGATCATCAGCACTAAAGAGCTGGGATATTTTGATATGTAGCCACGTTAAATCATTGCCTTAAAATGTTGCATGTGTCTTTTATTGTTCCGGGTCTTCCTTTTCTCCACCGCTTTTGTCCCACACGTTCAAAAGAATTTGAAACCAACTACTGGAGAAAGAAAATCAATCCCTCTCCTCTGTCTCCTGTCGGGACTGCCCCCCAAAAGGGTGATTTTTTTTTTTTTCTGAGAAGATTCTTCACGTCTAGGCTGTGGAGACCGGAAACAGGGCCAGTTTCAGCTCCAAGTGGACAGTTCACTTAGGCGATATCTGGTTTGAGATAATGAAAGGCACCTGTAAGAAAACACACACAGCTTTTTAGGTCATGCTGGGACAATTCACAGCAAGGGGCAAAATCAGCTACAGGCTGACAATGTCATATTTAATACCGTGGTATCAAAGGATCGAGACTAATATTTTTATTCCTGAGACAAGTTTGACACAACTCTGTGTCCTTGGGATTATACCTCATATGATCCTTGAGCTGACCTCATTAAAAACATGTGTTTCTAATGCCAGAGGTTATTTCATTTTGGCCAACCCTTATGTTTTACCTAGTGGCAATCAGGTTTCATGTCTCAGCAATTAATAACCGCAAGATGTTGTTGACATCAGTTAAGAAAATAATTATACAAGGGAGCCCTTGCTGGAAAAATCAGCCGGCTTTGCCACAAAATTGATACAGGGATGTAAGGCTTAATCATGCTGCCACCTCCCCTTTCTTAAGGAAGAATTGAAAGTTTTCACCCGTCTAGGAGTAATTACACCCTAAAACGTCTGAGGCTTACTTTGTCCATACTGCCCATATTGGTAGCCTGTGACAGGGTCCATACTGTAGCCCGTGGTGCTATAGGTGGGTGGACAATAGGACTGAGATGTTGGCAGACTGTCCAAGCTCTTCATATGGTCTAGTCTCTGACTGCAGCTGGCCGACACCGTAGTGGTAGGTTCCAGGCCCCCAGTGAGAGGGGAGAGAGCATAATCGGTCTGGGGCTGATGGGGTACCCCACCGTGGTTGGTCAGAAGTCCCATTACCTAAAATAAACAGGAAAATTGGGAAAAAGTTAGAATGGAGGGAGGAGCAGGTCATAGCCTATAGCTGAATGAATAATTGGAAAAGTACAATTTTCATTTCTTTGGAAATCTACCGTTAAAGAGCTATACAAAAGACAGTGACCTCAATTCAAAGTGGCAGAGATATTACATCATGCCCAATGATAATATCTGACTGCCGTTTCAGAAAAAGGAAAGAGAGGAGGGAGATGGGGGGAGGAAGGAAAAGGAAGGAGAGGGGGTGCGAGAGAGAGAGATTACACCATGCCGCAGTGATAAAATCAGAATGGAATTTCAAAGAAGAGGAAAAAAAGGAAGGATAGAGGGACAGAGGGATGGAGGGAGGGAGAAATTATACCTGTTCATATAAAATAATGTTTAACCATATATTACATCTGGAAGTTTCACATATCATTTTAAATAGGCATTTGCTTATTTTTTTTTACAAGTTGGATTCAAATCAAATTCTTTTTGTGTATTTCGAGATTTCTATGTCCTTTCTCATAGCATTCCCTCTCTAGAAAATTCCTCTCCCTATCTCCGCCGTCCTTCAGTAGTTAGAAATAATTACTTCCTCCCTGATGCTCCTTTGTAGTTTACTTGTCCCTCCCATTCTGGAATCATTACTTCAGTCACCTACTTTGAATTATGAGAGCTTTGAGGGGACTAACCTACTCATCTTTATATCCCCAGCACCTAAAAGAGTGCTTGGTGCTGAGTAGGGAATGAATGAATGAATGGTAAATGATTCTCCAGGTAACTGCCTCCATTACCTCTCCTTTCATTTCTTCTCTAAACTAACATTTCATATACAAGAGTGTTAAAAGGAAAGAAAAGCCTGAAATACAAACATATTATAAAAATTCCGTTCCACGTCGTAAATAATCCTAGCGAGCAAGAGAACTTTAAAAAATCAACAAAACTGTGATAACAGAACAACTTTCAGATGAGCATGGTGAAGTGCTTCACAAACTCAAGCTCACTGACCCTTGTAACACCTTGTGATGGAAGTTAAGTGGATAATTAATTCTGCAGCTGGAAAACTGCCACCCGGGAGAGGAAGTGATTTTTCTCAACTTCCTACGATTCGGTGGCAGGACCTAAAAAGCAGTTGCAGAAGAAACAGACTACTGGGTGAAGAGCCTCACCTGCTTACAAAATATCACCCGCTTACCAAATACTTAAATGCAGGGGCCCACAATCACACAATATTGTCATAACAGTCCTGTTGTCTTTTAGGACATCTGAAGCATATGGAGACTAAAGTGTACCCATGACACAAAGGAGAGGGCAACAATGAAACCCAAGGCCTGACTCGAGGCCTTGTGCTATCGCCCAAGGTAATTCAGGCAATAGAATCCTGGATCTAGAGGTTCCAGCAAGGCAGGTGGGAGGGACCAGTCTTGCATCCCAGAAAGCATCCTAAATAAGACTCCAAACACAATGAGGCCACAATCCCCTTTGGGCAGGGCTTGCATAATCCTTGTAGCTAAACAAAATCTTCTTGAAATAAAGCTTTAAACTGTTCCATCTTTAATTAGCCACAAGAGAAAAAAAAGAGGAGAGAGAATCTGTTTACCACCTTCTATGGATTATCCTTTCTTCCTCCATTTCTATCAAGCCACTGATTTCCCTGGTCTTCATTCCTTTTCTCCCTTTCATATGAGTTACCGTGTGTGTGAGCACGTGGGGAAGTGGACCAGTATGGGGAGAGCAGCTGAGTGATGACCAAATTTTTAAAGACAATCCAAGGGATCTGGATTTTCTTGAGCTATGTGGTGAAACACCTTTTTAAAACATCTCTAAAAATTACTTACATTCTAAAAACTAACCATATGTGACAGAGCATGGTTTTGTCTAATTGGGGATTGGGGAAAAACGAAAATCACAAAATAAAGTGAGAATCCATAGGATTCACAGCTCCAAGAGGATGGAAAGTCACTAGAACTTGGGACTTTCTTAGGGTCCTCCCCAACAGCTGTCTACAGTAAGCGAATTACTTCATGTTCTCACTTTAAAAACTTGAACATAATCCAGAATGCATTTAAGTTATTTCCTGAATGTTCTTCTACCTACATGGGTGTTTTTTCTTTTTTGCCTTTCTTTGAGCTTATACAAATGATTTCACAGTGTACACTTGGAAAATTCATAAACTTCCATTGATACATTAATTTATTAAATATTTTATTTCGAGCCAAAATGACCCATGTCTATTAGAAGAAAAGAGTCTTTAAAAGAGAGGTTGTTCAGTGCCAAATACACTCCTTTCAAACCAAGAGTATCTCTTTGTGTGCTGTCTGATGGGCAAGAATGGATAGGAAAAATAAAAATATGAAAAATGTGATTTTTTAATGAAAAGGGGACAATGACACAGGGCACAAATATTTTACCATGTAAATAAGCAGCACTAAGTAAAAATCAACCACTTAGAAAGAGCAATTTTGTAATTGTACGATCCAGAGAAGAAAACTACCCAGTGATACTGGATAGAAAGGAAACATATTTAAATGTCCTGCACGAAGATACGTACCTGAAACTCAGTTAATGGTATATCACTTTAAGGGAGAAATGGAATACTCTATATACAGTTATAGTCGAAGAGAAACAGCAGAATTTTATTCAAAACACGCACACTCTCCCATGCATACATGAGCTATATGTACGCTTTCGTGATAAACTTTTTTTTAATCCTTTTCCATACATTTCTTGTTTGTATAACTTTGAAGGCAGCTTAGGACAATAACTTTGTCCACGGGAAAAAAAAAAAACAAAACCATGAAGGTCCCAAAAGAGAAGAAATGAGTCCTTCCTACAAGCAAAATTCAGCTTAGAAGGTTTATGCAGCCACTTTTTGCAGTTGCTGAACTGGAAAATACTTTAGGACAGGATTTCAATCTAAGAGCTTGAAATAAATCTATTGGAGGATGGAGAAGATATCTGCCAGGGCTATATTCTAGGGCAACAGAAAGACAGTTTCTCAAAGATTCCAGGGCGCAGCGTCTTTGAGACATCCCGGAGCATGACCCAGTCAGGAGGGACGGCTGCTGGGTGAATGGAATAGGAAGACTGGGTTTTCCTATCAGTATTGCTACTGTCACCCATGGGAAGCTAGTGACAGCTCCTGCTTTAGCAGTATCCCTTAGCTCAGCAGCCCTATACTTGCAGTGGCTAATGTAAGAAATACAGAGGACCAGAGACTCGCTTATCTTTGGTCCCTCTGATCTTCCTGATAGAGCCCAAGAAACAGACATTCTCCCACAAACTCATATTTCCACTGTGACAGTCACACAGATACAAGATGTGACAGTCATATCTTGGAATCGTGATTTCTTTCTCAAGAATTGTTTAAGGATGGGGAAAGAGGCACTAATATTTTCCTACATTTGATCTGAAATTGAAATTAATACATACTTATAAGTAATGTGATTTATTTCAATATTTCACATTGAGAAGACTTGAGAAATATACACCTTTTTAATAACTTCTAATTTAAAAATTAAAAAGGAAATCTGTGTTACAAAAAAAATAGTGAATGGGGCCGGCCCCGTGGCATAGCAGTTAAGTGCTCACGCTCTGCTGCTGGCGGCCTGCGTTCGGATCCCGGTCGTGCACCAACGCACCACTTGTCAGGCCATGCTGTGGCGGCGTCCCACATAAAGTGAAGGAAGATCAGCTGGGTGTTAGCTCAGGGCCAGTCTTCCTCAGCAAAAAAAAAAAAAAAAAAGAGGAGGATTGGCACGGATGTTAGCTCAGGGCTGATCTTCCTCACAAAAAAAAAAATAGTGAATATATTAATGCAAAACACATTACTTTCCCCTAACATAATTTAAAACCTCAAATCTCAATGGAAGGGTCTCATTACACTTTTATGTATGTGTTTTTTAAAAGCTATTACGTATTTCATGTGGTTCAAGGGAAGCTATGGAAATTTCTTTTTGCTGCACAAAGAAGTTGGTAAACGAACTTCTTAGAACTCCCCCCAATATGGTTATGGAATGTCTTCCAGTCATATTTTCTTTTTAAGAATATTGCCAGAATTTCTTTTCCTAGAGCATATAGAATTGCTTTTCCTATGGCAATTTGTAATTCAAAGCCTAAAATAAAATCCTTATTTGTTGCAAAGTATGTTTTTTTCCTTCATAAACCATTTGTAAGCTGTTTTGACTACAAGGCTGGTATTTTTGCCTGATTTTTTTTTTTTTAATTTGGGATGGGAGGGAAGCACAATTGCCTGGTTTTCACAAACAATTTCAAAGGAAAAGAAATAAACTCAGTGCTGTTTCCTAAACATCGACCGCATTCTTATTAAATGCCAGATAAGTCCAGGAGATACAATGACCAGGAAAAGAGATTTCCCTTAATAAGAATCTCTGTTCTGTCCCTTGGGAAGGGATGTGGGGGAGGACCTAATTTTTACTTTTAGTTGAGTACAACTCTTAGGTGAAGAATCTGAAAAAAATCTGTTAAGTATATTCCTAAATTGTTACCTCCAAAAACATTTCCAGACACCATTTCTAAATTGTTTTATGGATAACCTTTAAAAACAAATTTGAAGCCTCAGAATCATGAGCCAACACCTCTCCCGCTGGTCCCTCTTTCCCATTATTAGAGACCTTTTCTGAAGATCTCTCTAAGGTCGTTCTCAAGTTTCAGAATTCCAAATCGGTTGGTTATATCTTGATTGGCAGATTATATGGTTCAGGAAAAACTAACTCGTTACAATTGCTTCATGCCATATTTCTCTTGAATTAATTTTCCCATTGTAAGATTAAATATAAAAGATAAAAACTATGGGCCAAATTAAGATTTACATTTAAAACAATGTGTCTGGAAAATATTTGCCTTGGTGTAAGCGTTATGGTTTTGCCCTCAGTCGAGAGTGCTCAGAGCTTATCAGAAATCTAATATGATTTAGCAAATTATAGTGTACATCGAGGTGCTTCTTTTTTCCTAAGTAGGAATCTTGGTTCCCATCTTTAATT